TAAACCCGCCAAGTCTCCCCCAACTCTCCCCCACCCCACCTCTGCTGGCACAGCAGGCAGGTCCCCAGGCCCCAGCCCTGGTGGCCCGCTCCACCTGGAGCCCTGGCCGGAGCTTTCCATGCTGATGAGCTCTGCAACGAGCCCACGGGTCCTTTTCTTCTCCAGAACGGGGCGCTGCTGCAGATGCTGGGGGTCATAGGTTTTTAGGGACTCATTTGCCTCCGAAGTTCTGTAATCTTTGCCAGCGGCCAAAGCTTGTGGTTTCACAGGGAAACCAAGGACTCCCATGTGCATGTGGGGAGAGGCAGCGGCTGGGGCAACCCAGGCTCTTGGGTCTTCATGGTTCTGGGTAAAACCACTCACCAAATCCATTACGTGGCTATAGGTGCGACTCTGGGGAGTGAGTGGTGTGGCTGGACCTGTGCCCGGACGGGAGACACCCCCGCCCCCGTGCTGCTTGTGAGGGCTGGAGCGCACGTCCCACACACCTGTAACTACCACACCTCCCGCCCCCACTCCACATGCAGGCGGCAGAACTGGGGAGGGGCAGGCCTGTGGCCCGACCCATGCTCCAAGCTGTCGTTGGGGACTAGAACACACAGTTCCTGGCAGCACTGTGGTGCCTGACCACACTGTCTTCATGCCCCCATCCAACAGCGCCAATCTAACACAGACCACAGACCACCCTACCTCTTATCAACCTTCCCGCAGCTTCCCTGACTCCAGGCCCTGAGGGGAGGCTGGGAATAAGAAGTCCCACTGCTGATGACAACTATTTCTGTGGAGTCATGTGGGCCCAGATCCAGTCCCCACAGATATTTAAAGATCGAGAGAGAGAGCTGTCCCATGGCTTCACTGAGTACCCAGTAGCAAAGGGGAGCTGATTAAAAATAGCTAAATTAAAGCCCCCAGATCCTGAGGCGCTGAGATCCTAGAAATGCTGAGAAGATTGATCTGGGTTTAATGGTGAAGTGTGGCTGCAGCCCCAGAAAGGGGCTTCAGGAGGGGCTGAGGGCAGTGGTAGCGGCCCACGGAGTCCATCCGGAGAAGGGGCAAGATGCAGCCGGGACCCCACATGGAAGCGAGGGCCTCAAGGAACGTGAGTGGAAAAACGAGATACCAGAACCGCCACCCTGGGTCTGACCCCCGTCTCCTCAGCCCAGGCCTCTCAAGGTGGAAAAAATGTTTCACTCAACAAGTTTGAATTCAAATCTTTGCTCCATACAGATGTGTGTCAGCGAGTACCCTGTGGTGTCACTCCACCTCTGGCCGCTATGCTCCATCAGTCCCTCACGGGATGCTCACAGCTCACAGCAAATTCTAGAGCCAAACCCAGCTTCCCATATCACAGCCGTTCCGCACCAGGCTGTTCTGGGACACGCGTAAGTCAAGCCTGAATTTGCGAGCAGAGATGAGCTCTCACAGTCGAAAAATGAAGCCATGCGTTATTTAAGTTCCTTCTCACTTAATGTATCAAACTAATATGCTGAGGTATTTTCTGTATCACAAGGGACCATTTGGTGGAAGCTTGCATGGAGTAAGCGTTTAATGTTTACTGAATGAATGTATAATAAAGCTGAATTGCTGAACACTTAAGTAAACATGGCTTATTAGAGGGAAGGCAGCATGGTGTCGGTATGAAGAGAGCATGCCTCACTAATCTCCTTGAGTTCTTTGAACAGATAAATAAGCATATGGATAAGAGGGAACCACAAAACCCAGTTTAATTTGACTTTCAAAAACCTGTGAGAAAATCCCACTCTAAAGATGGTTTTTAAAAAATTGAGTCACTAAGGATCGTTTTGTCATGAATATGGAATTGGCTGAAAGACCATAAACAAAGCTAAAGATAAGTGAATACAGTCCCAGATGGAAAACCACAAACACGGGGGTTTCCTAGAGATCTCATCTTTGATGGGTCTTTTTACGTGTTTATGAATGATCTAGAAGAGCAAGTGTGTATAGGATCTCCGGGTTCAGGTAGCAGAGGATGGTTCTTCTGAGGGGGATGTTAAGTTGATGGAGATTTAGTTTGGTTTGAACAAGAATGTATCAGGTTCCGAAGAGTCATCATGGGTTTGGACCATGAGGTATTCAAAAGACGTAGACCCTGAAGGGGCCAATCATCGCATCAGCACACCTTCATTTAACTCTAGATGGCAGAAGGCACATGAGGTCAGTGAAGATGTGGTGTGCGAGACAAATGCCTGCCGTGAGGGTTCAGACAAGGGGAGAGGCAAATGTGGATTGAAGTAGGGAAGGCTTCTTGGAGGAGGCAGCATTTGAGGAGAGCCATGAAGAACGGCTGGGTTGAGTGGCTGTAGAAGAAGTGGAGGGTCTTCCTGTCAACAGCAGCTAATGCAAGCAGGGTGCTTTTCTCGCCTTCATGGAAGGTGGGGCTTGTCTGCGTGATCTCATTTAGCCTCACTGCAACCCAGTGATGTCGATCAGATGCTCCTTTTCCGAAGGAGGAATGAGAAGCTTGAAGAAGGTAAATGATCTACTCTGGCTCACATGGCTGGTAAACGGACCCACTGTTGTGATGCCTCCAGTTCTAGTGAGTGAGACAGCATGAGCAAAGGCACAGGGGCAGGACTCTCTAGAGCAGGTTATAGAGAGAACAGAGGGGTCGGTCCTGCTGCAGCAAGAACAGCCTGTCTTGGGGAGGTCGGAGCATGTGCATGGGATCTAAATGACAAAGACCCTCCAGTCTTGTCTGGGGAGCTTGAACTTCATCCTGAGGGCACTGTGTGGAGTGGAAGAAGGAAAACGGAACCATATTCTGGGGATCATAGTCTGGGAAGTAGCAAAAAGTTAATCTGGGAGATGGAAAAAGTTGAGACAGACAACTGGTTTGGAGGAGAACCTGGCTGAAGCTGAGGCAACTTTATTTTGTGCCCCTGCTTGAACTTGCATGTTGAATGGATGCCGGGCCCCAGCACATCTCGTAGAGCACAGCCCTCTACCAGGTCAGCACTTGGGGTCTCGTGCCCTGGTGACATCCCAGGTGTCACACGGCTGCCATGTCCCATGTCACTGCCCGGGATGGGGAGGTGGCTTAGGCAGCTCGAGGGGTGCCTTCTCTGCCTGCTGGAAAGCAGCTTGCGGGTCCAGGCCCTGTGAGGCGCTGGGTCCCCTGCTTCTTTAATCGGCATTGCTTACTGAGTCTGCCAGAGCTCTGCTACATCAGACTCCGTCCCTAAGCTCCCGGCAGGACACGAGAACTTCAGGGGTCCCTGAACAGCAGAGTAGCAACATCACGTTTGGGGAGGAGTATGTAGAGGCAGCAGAGAAGTTAAACTTCCGCAATTCCTTCAGCCACCCTGAGGTGGCAGTGTTAGCAGGCCAGGCTGTCACCTAATTCTGGTGGCCATGTGGTGTCTGACACTCTGGGGCCGGAAGATGAGCTCATTTGGGGTGAGCGACCCAACTACTCAGTGACATCAGAACTGCCACTGAGGCAGCTGTTTAATAGTGGAGGCAGTAAGGACTTGAGTCAGGAGGTGGCACGTGAATCCCTGCTCTTCCTCCTGTTAGTCACATGACCAGGGGTGTCGCTTAACCCCCCTGAGTCTTAGTTTCCCTGTCTGGAAAGTAGAGATGGTAATTGTACCAACCTCCTAAGTCCTTAGGAAATTTAATGAGAAAAAAGCCACTCTGGGTGGCTGAACCAGCACAGAACACAGGGGAGCTATGCCAAGTCTTTAAGATTCAGCCCCGGAGACCTACCTAATAAACATTCCCTGGCCCCATCCCGGATCGCACAGTGATTTCCACTACAGCACACTGCAGACCCAGACCATATCGTACTGGTCTCTTGGCCCGTCTGCTGCTGTCACTAGACTGTGAGCTCTTTCAGGGCAAGCCCGCATCTTCTATCTCTTTAAAATCAGCTCCTAAGGGGCGCCTGGGTGGCTCAGTGGGTTAAAGCCTCTGCCTTCGTCTCAGGTCATGATCTCAGGTCCTGGGATGGAGCCCTGCATGGGGCTCTTTGCTCAGCAGGGAGCCTGCTTCCCCCTTTCTCTCTACCTGCCTCTCTGCCTGCTTGTGATCTCTCTCTCTGTCAAATAAATAAATAAATAGAATCTTTAAAATAAATAAAATAAAATAAAATCAGCTCCTAGACAGTGCCTGGCATATGGTGGGTGTGTGAAAGTTTGCCACATAACCAAGAAAAGTGAATATATTACCTCCTATTCCTGTAAGAATGGAAGTTGAGTTTAATTTGCCTCTGTTCCCCCCCAAAGATTGTGAATTCTCATGAGCAAGTGCTTATTAATTCACTTTAGAACCTTTCCAAGAATCAACATAAAGGTTATTGGTCTTCTCTGTAGAATTCTGATCCTCCCCATCTTTGAAAAATAGGGACAGCCCTGACATCTGCCTCTGTCAGTCACCTCTTTCATTCTTTGGGAGTTCTCGTCAAAGACAGAAAGTAGGATATGTACTTTTTTAAAAAGATGGAATGTGCACGTTCTTTAGTGGATTGGATTGAACTGACATCGGGGAGCCATCTTACAGGCTTCTCCTGCTGCAAGGGGACACATTTTCCTTGTAATGCTGCTTGTCCTCCCTTTCCAGCATTAAGACTTTTATACTCTCTGGGAAAGATGTAAGCACAAGAGGCTTGAATTTTGCTTTCCCTCTGATATTTACTAACCTTCCTCTGTTTTCCTCAGTCACTTGACCTGTGCCCTCTGGATTCCTCTAGCTTTGAGCACAAGCTTTAAAAAACCCCTTCCGGTTTTAGCATTTTTATTAGCCAGAACTTGTCCTGAGCTTTAGCTTTCTTGAAGCGTTTCTTAAATGCAAATGCCATTCTTTTCTACCAGTCCTGCATGTCTCTTTTGAAAACCTGAATTCATTGCAGAGCTGTTTTGAGTCAAACTGATCTAAACCTGATAAGAGACCCAATCACATCCCTATTAGATGTGATGTGCAGTCCTTGAATCTTTGAAATTATTCCCCATTCATCCATACGCAGAGAGAAAACTACATACCATTCTGTTGGTAAAGTTATGAAAGTTCTCAACCAACACCTGCTCAATCATGTCTGGCTCAGAGATAACAATGAACATCCGGCGACCAAGATAGTACCTGGGGGAATAAAAAGATGACTTTAAAATGTGTTGTATTTATCTACTCATTTCTTCTTTCCAAAAAAGAATTCACCATGCTTAGAATGAAGGTTAAAAGACAAACAGGAAATAAAGATGTGGGGAAGGTGTAGAAATGTGTGTGCTAATCATGAGGAATAGTATAGCTGTGATGATCTATTATCAGGTTTCATTCCACAGACATTTCTGGAATTCCACCTTGCACCAGGTCTTGGAAACTCTGAGATAAATAAGACAGAGTCCCTGCCCCCAAGGAGCTCATAGCACGATAGAAAAGATCTGTAAATGTAAACACAATATTAAGGAATTTGTAAGGTCCAGGAGTAAGTAAAAATGGCAGCGGTCAGCATTATCCATATTGTCCCTAAATGGGGAGACAGTCATTCTAGCAAAAGAAGGCCAAAACTTTTATATATTGATCCTTTGGAGAAAGTCCAATGTGAATTAATAAATGCTGCAAAAATTCAGGAAGAATCAAACCTCCTGGTGAAGATCTGGTTGCCACCCCTGTGCATGAAAAAGTTCAACAGATGCTCCTGACGTTAATGAAGAAATGGAGGAAAGGAGCAGCCAGTCAACTGGTGGTAGTGAACTCTGAGTGGGGGCAGCACTTGAGTACATGTCTGGTTATATTTATCAAAGTCCTGGGGGCACAAAAGCAAGTAAGACCCAGTCCCAGTTTTCAAGGGTCACGCAGTCTGTTGGGAGTGCAAGTTAGCTAATCAGCACACAGCATGACATCTGGCAAGCAGGGGTAACATTGGAGGCACACCCAACTTCCCAGAGGTGGTGCTTCTCAAACTGAGTTCCAAAAGATAAACAGGAGTTAGTTCAGGAAAGTGGGTGGCAAAGGGAGTGGAGCTATCCCAGGCAGAAGAATCTGTTTGTGCAACTGTCCAGGGACAAGTGTGCTTGGGGGAACTAGAAGTGCTTGGCTACCATCCACATGAAGCAAACCCAAGTGGTGATGATGAATGGATCCACTGCATAACCTCATGTCTTTAGTCTATGAAATTATACTTTTAGGATGTAATGTGATCACTATCATATCCAGCTCAGAGCAGTAAGGAATAGAGTTTAAAGGGTAAAGCCACAAGATATGAAAACAGCAAAGTTTACTCTGAATTTTTAGTTACTAAGAACTTTTCAAAAGCTAAAAATGACCTTAAATATTTTTAACTCCTTTCTTTTCTCACTGACTAGGGAAAAAATGAAAAAAAAATGTAGCTGGCACTTATTAGGCATTCAGAAAATATTTACCTGAGTGATAATATTTTCCAAAATTGTAGGGGAAATCTTTGGGAAACAGGAATTCAACAGGTGTGGTAGAAGGAAAGAAATGATACTAAGTAGTTTTTATTGTTTTTAATCAAGAAGACCACAATATGGCTATAAACCAGTACTTTCATAAAATTTAAGGGGAGTGTCATGGAACTCTTGAGAATCTAGTGAAAGCTGCAGACATTCTCCTAAGAAACATGGACATTCACAGCATTTTGTATACAATTTGAGGGGCTCTTGGACCCCTAAAACCCACTGTAGAGCAAAGCTTCTTAAATATAAAATGTGCTTAGAAGCCACCTGCTGAAAACTTCTCCCATTTGGCAAAAAACATAAACTTAGAGATTCAAGAAGCTGAATGACTCCCCTATAGGAGGAACCCAAAGAAATCCACACCAAGACATATCATAATTAAACTTCTGAAAGCCAAGAACAGAAAAAAACCTTGAAAGCAGCCGGGAGAAGGGATGGATCATTTATAGGGAACACTGATTCAAAGGACAGCAGATTTCTCATCAGAAACCATGGAGGCCAGAAGAAAGTGGCATATTTCTCAAATGCTGAAAGAAAAAGACTGTCAATCACAAGTCCCATACTGGGAAAAAATGTATTTCAGGAAAGAAGAAGAAATAACAGTTTTGTCAGATGACAGAATACTAACAGAATTTGTCACTAGCAGATCTACCCTTAAAAAATGGCTAAAGACATCAAAAGAAGTGAAATCTTGCTATTTGCAACAATGTGAATGGAACTAGAGGGTATTATGCTGAGTGTAATAAGTCAATCAGAGAAAGACAATTATCATATGACCTTTCTGATATGAGGAATCTGAGAGGCAGGGCAGGGAGTCTGAGGGGTAGGGAAGGAAAAATTGAAACAAGATGGGATCAGGAGGGTGACAAACCATAAGTGACTCTTAATCTCACAAAACAAACTGAGGGTTTCTGGGGGGAGAGAGGGTAGAGATAGGTGGTTGTGTTATGGACATTGGGGAGGGTGTGTGATATGGTGAGTGCTGTGAAATGTGTAAGCCTGACGATTTACAGACAGGTACCCCTGGGGCAGATAATACATTATGTTAATAAAAATAATTAATAATTTAAAAAAAAGAATGGCTAAAGGAAATTCTCCAAACAGAAGGGAAATAATAACAGAAGAAAGCTTGGAACTTCAGAAAGGAAAGAAAAATGCAGAATGCCTAAAAAGTAATAGACTAGACTTCTCATGAGTTTTTCAAATCATATTGATAGTTGAAGCGAAAATGATAACACCATCTGATGTGGGGTTCAGTATACTTAGAGATAATGCTTAAGATAATTATAGTTAAGAAGTAAGCAGAGTAAAGGGACCAAAATGGAAGTAAAGTTTCTTCACATCACTCAAAGTGGTAAAGCATCTATACTATAACAAATTGGAATTTGTGTTTGTAGCTAACACAGTGTTGAGACAGAAATTTATAGCATTAAATACTATCTTAGGAAAAAAGAAAAACCTTAAATGAATAAGTTCCTACATCAAGCATCTAGAAAAAGAAGAGCAAAAAACCTAAATCAAATAGAAGGAAGGAAATAATTTTTTAAAAAAGCAGAAACGAATAAAACTGAAAACAGAAAAACAAAAAATTAATGAAACAAAAAAATTGGCTCTTGGAAAAAAAACAATAAAATTGGTAAACATCTAGCAAGATTGACAAAGATAAAAAGAGTCAAGACAAAAATCACCAATGTCAGGAATGAAATGGGATATCACATAGATGCTACAGCCATTAAAATAATAAGGGACTACTGTAACAACTTTAATAAATTTGACAACTTAGAAGAAATGAACCAATTCCTTGAGAACCACAAACTACTAAAACTCACCCAAGATGAAATAAACAATGTGAATAATCCCATAACCATAAAAGAAATTGAATCCACAATTTTAAATTTCTTGAAAAAGACCTCCCAACTCAGTTGGTTTTAGTGGAGCATTCTACCAAACATTTAAAGAATAATTAATAATTTTACATGCTCTCTTCTGGAAAATAAAAGAGGAACAATTCCCAACTCAATTTATGAAGCCAGTATCACCCTGATACCGAACCCCCCCGCAAAAAAAAAAACCAGTACAAAAAAAGAACACTAGATCAGTATTTCTCATGTACTTGGATTCAAAAATCTTCAACAAAATATCAAAGAATCAAAGCCTGCAATCTATAGAAAGAATTATACACCACAACCAAGTGATATTTATTCTAGGTATACATGACTGGTTCAATATTTTTTTAAAAAGAGTTTACTTATTTATTTATTTAGAGCGAAAAAGCATGAGTTGGGGGGGACAGAGGGAGAGGAAGAGAACCTCAAGCAGACTCCCCACTGAGCCTGACACCAGGCTCCATCTCATGACCCTGAGATTAGGACCAGAGCCAAATCAAGATTTGCATGCTTAACCAACTGAGCTGCCCAGGTGCACCAAGCTGGTTCAATATTTAAAAAAAAAAAAATATGAACCACATATAAATTGGATAAAAAAGAATTATGTGATCATTCAACTGATGCAGAAAAGAACATTTGACAAAATCCAGCACTCATTCACAATAAAAATTCTTATGAAGAGGGGAAATTCCTCAACTTTAAAATAGAAAGTATCTACAAGAAATCTACAGAAAGGGGCACCTGGGTGGCTCAGTGGTTTAAAGCCTCTGCATTCAGCTCAGGTCATGGTCTCAGGGTCCTAAGATGGAGCCCTGCATCGGGCTCTCTGCTCAGCAGGGAGCCTGCTCCCTCCTCTCTCTCTGCCTGCCTCTCTTACTACTTGTGATCTCTATTTGTCAAATAAATAAATAAATAAATAAATAAAATCTTTAAAAAAAAATCTACAGAAAAACAGCTAACATCACACTCAATGAAGAAAGAGTGCTTTTTCCTAAGACTGGGAACAAGGCAAGGACATCCACCCTCTCTACTGTTAATCAATGTAGTACTAGAACTTTTAGCAAGTGCAATAAGGCAAGAAAAATAAATAAAAAGCATACAGATTGGAAAGGAATAAACAAAATTGTCCCAACTCTCAGATGACATCATTTTCCACATAGAAAATCCTAAGAAATTAAAAAAATATATATTGACTAATAAGTGAATTCAGCAAGGTTGCTGTATTCAAGATGAACACATACACACATAAAATCAATAATATTTTGTTTGCCAACAATGAACATGTTGAATTCAAAATTAAAATACAGTGCCATTTATAATATAGAGGAAATAAAGGACACCTAAATAAATAGATACAGCATGTTCATGGGTTAGAAGACCCCACTGTAAAGATGTCAGTTCTTTCAAAATGGATCCATAGGTTCAGTGCAATTCCTGTCAAAAGCACAGCAAACATTTTCTGTAGGCATAGACAGGCTTATTCTAAAATTTCTATGGAGAGGTGCCTGGGTGGCTTAGTGGGTTAGGCCTCTGCCTTCAGGTCAGGTCATGATCTCAGGGTCCTGGGATCAAGCCCCACATCAGGCTCTCTGCTCAGTGGGGAGCCTGCTTCCCCCCCCCCCACCTGCCTCTCTGCCTACTTGTGATCTCTCTCTCTCTGTCAAATAAATAAATAAAATCTTAAAAATGAAATAAAATAAAATTTATATGGAAAGGCAAAGGACTTAGAATAACTAAATCCATTTTGGAGGAAAAAAAAAAGAGTAAACTGGGAGGAATC